GGAAGAGCCACCATTGCTCTTAACTGCTGAGGCATCCCTCCAGCCCTCAGATGTCTGTAACTGGTTGTATGTCAACAATCTGCCTTCTCCGTTGTGTATTTGGTCTGTTTCTAACTAATGTAATAATCAATCTGGTTGAACTTGAGTGCATTACTTTGAGTATTTGTTGTTTATTCTTCCCCTCTTGTTACTTTGATCTTTTGCTTACTTACCATAGTTTAAAAGAAAATTGTAGTGGTTGCTCAGAGGCTTGTAGTAGAACATAGCATCATACCTTGAGCTGATGCAGTGAGTTGACAAGTGTATGTGCTTTCTTTCCATCTTCTTTCTCTTGTGCTTCTGTTGTCTTCACTTCACCTCTGCGCAGGTCTTGAGCCCCAATCCCAAGTCAGCTTGCTGTAAATCAACAGGGTTTTGTTGTTTTGGGGGTTGGGTTCTGTTTTCTTTTCTCCTCTTTGTTAGAAATTCAGCCTAGGCTTCAGACATGCAGAACAAGTGCTGTAAGCTGAGCTTTGTGGCCAGCCCAGCCTTTGCTTTAAACAACTACTTATCGCATGAAAGATTCAAATAAAGAGGAAAATCTGTATTTCCAGTGTTGTTCTGATTTCATCTTATTTTTGAAGAGTATTTTCCATGGATTCTAGTTCACATATATTTTACCTCATTCTTTTAGCATTTTAGTAACTTTATCTTTTGTTCTCATTATTTCTGATTGTAAGTCTAACCCTACGTTCTTTTTGGATGGTGTTATTTTTGATTCCTTCTAATGATTAAGGTTTTTCTTGCAGTCGACCCCTGCCATTTTGACTGTAATGTTTTTCTTACCAACAGTTTGTTTTATTTTCTTTTAATTGATTCTTAAGGTTTATTTTATTCCTAGATTTTTTTCACAAGAAAAAAAAGATTAAAAAATCTGTTTTTACCTAGACATAAAATCTGAACAATAATTTGGCCACTATATCTTTAATTTTTCTGAAGCCCATATCACCCCTATGTGTATCATACTGATGGATTTTATCCCTCAGGTCATTAAAATGTATGTCTTTCCCAGTGCTTTCCTCTGCATCCTTCAGTCTGGGTGCTTTCTGTTACCGATTTAGTATTTTATACTGGGTATATCCAGTTAATCCCCCCCCTTTTTTTTACTCTATAAGTTCTAGTTGGGCTCACTTATTTGTTATAGGTAAGATAGGACTTTCATATAATGCATTGTAGTGAGGCTTGCACTTCTTGAACATTATACTTAAAAGATGGTTTGGTGCCTGGAATTTGGTTAGTAGATAGATTTGTGAGAGAGCACCTCCATCACATGTGTGAGGCCACGGGTCAGTCCCAGCACTATCAAGAGGACATAAGTGACTTGAGTGTATGTAATTTTCTAAATTATTTTATTCAAAACACTTGCTTGTTCTTTGGAACAATTAAGCTGTAAAGTTGAAAAGAACTGCAAGGTTTTTATCAGTAAATATAGTCTAATTTAAACTGTCAATGTGTAGGCAGCAAATAGGCTTGTGAAAATGAAGGAAGGCCAGGACTGATCTATTAGCCAGGCCTCTTAGCTTTCATTTTGTCTGGAAACCGCCACGTGAGCCTCCGCGCTGAGTAATCATGACTTCATAGTGCGACTATGGGAAGAATGTACACTCTTGAGTGAGTGAACAAAAAGGGTCTCGCTGGGTGACCCTCAATGGTCGCAAACTCCTTATGGAGACTGCCCAGCTAGGTTGTTCCGGATCTTGCTAAGTAGCTGGGATAAACAAACTTTTTGTACTTTTGCCTGTCCCTTCCAAGTGCCAGAATGCAGGTATGAGTCATCATGCCCTCTTTATGTGAGAGGCCAGGGCCTTGTGCTCTCATGCAAGTCAGGCCCCCTGAACAGTCATCTGTAGGGAAAAAAATGCTAAAATTGGTGAGACTTTACTATATCAAAAAAGTTTATTTTGTAAGATAATATATTTAGTTTGTATTTTAATCTATGTTTTCGAATAGAAAGGTCTGCCTCACACAGCCCAGAGCTTGGAGTTGGAAGGAACTTAGGCTTGCCAGGGGAGGGTTGCACCAGCTAGCTCCACCACTTCCAATCACTGTTGCCTTACCCTGTTTTCACACACATGCGCGCGCACACACACACACGTCTCTTTTTAAAAATCCAGCTGTATTTGTAGCCAAAAGAAAACAACAGTCAAACTCTTTCTTCATTTTGAATTACTGCCATCACATGCCAAGACATTTCTTGTCTTTTCTAGGGTTAAAAGTATTGCTTTTGTTTCTGAAAATACATCTCACTATGTAGTCCTGGCTGGCCTAGAACTCTTGGCAAAAACTCTGAGCTCTGCACCTACCCACTATGCCTGACTGCAGTTACTGTTTTAATATTGGATGTGCTAGATGTCATTGTATCCTTATTCTGGAGTTATTCAGAATATTTAAACTTACAATTCAATGTTTTTTATGTTTGTTTTCTTTTTTTTTTTTTTTTGGTAAGATTAGAAAAGAATCTATTTTCCTATAATACCTAAAATAAAAAAAAAAAAGTTTTAGTTTCATGGTTAAACATGACATTAAGAAACCTGATTGAGGGTGCCTGAATTTTGAGGTGCTAATAAAACCTAGATATATTGTATTCATGTCTGAAATCGCCAAAGAATAAATACATTTTTAAAAGGAAAATAAAAATACTCTTTAAAACTTTCAGTGCTTTCAACCTTGAATATTGTTATATTAGCAATTTCAAGAATTAAAATGTTTTAAAAAAACAAAGACTAAAAATAAAAAATAAAAAGATGAGGTAGATTTTTAAACAAATTTTCTTTAAAACAAGTTAATATACAGGATGAAGTAAGTAAGTAAACAAGCATGGAGGGGTAGCTGGAGAAACTGGTTTAGCAGTTAAGAATGCTTCCTGTTCTCCCAGAGTTTGGTTCCTAGCACACACAACAAGTGTCACACAGCTCCTTGGAACTGCAGTTCCAGGACATTCCTATGCCTTGAGCCTCCCTGGGCACCTGCATTCATTTGCTGATGGACACACACAAACACACGTATAATTAAAAGTAAAAAATATAAATTTTGGGGGCTGGAGAGATGGCTTAGCAGTCAGGAGCACTTGTTTCTTTTGCAGAGGAGCCCCGCATATTTGGTTCACAGCACCCCCATGGTAGTTCACAACCATCCTTAACTTCAGTTCCAGGGAATCCATCTCCTCATTCTGCCCTCCTCGGGTACCAGGCACACACATAGGCAAAATACTCATGTACATGAAATAAAAATAAATAATTCTTAAGTAAATGATATTTATTATCTTTGTAATAAACAAGACTTTCATAATATTTTCTTTTTAAAATAATTTGTTCATAATTACAAGTATTAGTGTGTATTCTGGAGTCTTGGGACAAGTAGAAGGTGTCCTGTCTTCTAGCTTTCATTCTCGCAGTGGAACTTAGTCTTTAATATTTCCTTATTTTTATAGCGAGATTTTTAAATGTTAAATTCATTCACTCTCTGACCTTAAAGGGCTTTGATGCACAGTGACCATTTTTCTTTAGGTCTGAGTCATTTTTAAAAAGCCAGTACAAAAATCTTTACTAGAAACCTTCATATTCAGAAATATTCACACAATATGGTCATTAGCAAAATTTTGGTATATGTCTAAACCTGTTCTATAAAAGCATATTTCATTTAACAGATAGTGGGTATTACATATTATATTCTAACAGACAGCCACCCATCTATCTTAGGAAACTCAGGAATTTACAGTTTTACCAGTTCTTGTGTTTATTTTATTCATAATCAATGTTTGTATATCTGGTGTGTGTGTGTGTGTGGGCCAGACTGCCGGTGCAACCGCCGCTGGGTCTATGATGCCATCGTCACCGAGTCTGGCGAGGTCATCAGCACCCTGCCATTTAGTGTTCCTGACTAGGAGATATTATGCATAGACAGTCTCCTCTCTCTCCCTCTCCCTCTCCCCCACTCTGCGTGCACATGTAAGGGTGTGCATTTGTTTGTTTTGAGAAGGTCTTATTCTGTATTTCAGGCTGGCCTTGAACTTATGGCAATCCTTCTGCCTCAGCTTACTCAGTGGTATTAATTTAGGTATAGTACATCATGCCTGGCTTCTGTTTCTTATAGATATATACATACATACATTCATAAATGTATGTATGGCCATATATAGAATACATTTTATATATGTACATGTTTAAGTCAAACTTCTTCTTTTTATTTTCTAAGATTGCTATTATTGTTTATTATTATTACTGTTTAAATAGATGAAACATCTTGTGGGAATTATGTTAAGCACCAAATGGATAAAGAAAATCTACTGCAAAAAAAAAAAGACTTTATTGCATATCTACATATTAATGTAGTTTAACTCATTTTAATAATTTGTAATATTGCAAAATAAAAGAGCAAAATATCACAAAAGTTGCTATAAGAGAAAAACGTTTAAAAGTAAAATGCAGCTGGGCGGTGGTGGCGCACGCCTTTAATGCCAGCACTTGGGAGGCAGAGGCAGGCGGATTTCTGAGTTCGAGGCCAGCCTGGTCTACAGAGTGAGCTCCAGGACAGCCAGGGCTACACAGAGAAACCCTGTCTTGAAAAACCAAAAAAAAATTAAAAAATGAAAAATAAGTGGTTATATGGCGTCATCTTTTTTTAGTAACTCACTGGAAAAGGTAGGTGATAATCTCAAATTACACCTCAAAGAAAAGTTCTATTACAGGGATAACATTCTGATGTACTCTGAATAAACAATATGAATATCAAGCAAAAAATTGGATAGGTTCCCTAAAGCAGGCCTGGGAAAGATTGTTTTATCTAATTGCTAACTGCATCTTAAAAATGTGTGTTCATGTTGCATCTTGACTTCTGAAAGTAGCACTTGGTATTACATTATTTGTATTACATTAGTGATGAGTGTGGTGTTGAGATGAGGTGCATCAAAGTCCTTTTGTGTCACTGTTTCTCATTAGAGGTTTCTTCTGCTTGTTTTCTAGGGCCCACATATAGCTTCAGTTACCTTAGCTGCTTATGAATGCAATTCGGTTAATTTCCCTGAGCCACCCTATCCTGACCAGATTATCTGCCCAGATGAAGAAGGCACTGAAGGAGCCATTTCTTTGTGGAGTATCATCTCAAAAGTTAGAATTGAAGCCTGCATGTGGGTAAGATCTGCATTTGCATACTTGCCTAAAACTAACCTTGCTGTCTTGATACTGTGTCAAACCTTCTACAGTGTGATCCACAAAGGCATGCCCAGTAAAGATTTGGGAAGCCACTTGCTGCACACTTCCAGAGCAGAAGACTCCTTCCTTAGGTAGCTACAGAACTGGACATGGTGGCATAGCATATGCCTGTAATCTCAGTACATTAGAAGCTTAGACAGAGGATTACAGTTTCCCAAGGGCCAGACTAGACCCTGGAACAACATTTTTAAAAAAGAAAAGCAGCTGTGTAGTTCACTGTAGATTAAACACTGTGTGTGTTCTTAGAAAATGTATTTCATTTTCAGTATTGTTGGTGAGATGCTACCTATAAGCTACCTTTTCTCTGTATAACCTAAGGTTCCATGGTGTTGATTTCAGACTGTGGTTGTGTAGTGATCCTGTCTTTACTGGTCCTAGTCATTATCCTGGTATTTTATTACGTTTTCTTTGGGAACTATTTTTGGGGGCAGCATTTCAATGGCAGATGTATTTTATCTTCATTAGACTTTTGTTTTTATTTAAATTCACTTAAGTGTTCCTCTCTAGGATACACATTGTTTAGCTCTTCAGTTCGTTCAGTTTATAGTCCCTTAAGGTTTCCTTTCCTGGCAGTTTCTTAGGAAATAAAAGCACGTGAAAGATCATATGCCCATCTTCCCTCGGGCCTGTGAGACGGTTTGCTGGGTTCACTGGGTAAGGTTCCTGCTGCCTGGCCTAGCATCTTGAGTTTAGTTCCTGGAACCCACATGATAGGAGAGAAGCACTTCCCATCTGTTGTACTCTGCCCTCCACAGCAAGCCATATATAGGCACAGACATACATGCAAGCATGTGCACATGGACTGTAGACATGAGCACATACAAATAAGGAAATAGCTTTTTAAACATTCTTAATTCTGCCTTTAATCCAAGCACTCAGGAGCCAGAGGCAGGTGGATCTCTGAGTTCAAGGACAGCCAGGGCTATATAGAGAAACCCTGTCTCAAAAAGCAAACAAAATTAATAAAATAAAAATATTCTTAATTCATTAAAACAGCAATTGGTACCATAACTTAGAAGAAGCAGTGGGTTTTTTTTGTTTGTTTGTTTTTGTTTTTTTAATTTATGGGTTGTCGCTGGGCAGTGGTGGCGCATGCCTTTAATCCCTGCCCTTGGGAGGCAGAGGCAGGCAGATTTCTGAGTTCGAGGCCAGCCTGGTCTACAGAGTGAGTTCCAGGACAGCCAGGACTACACAGAGAAACCCTGTCTTGAAAAACCAAAAAAAAGAAAAAAGAAATTATGGGTTGTCTGTGTGTTTATGTGTATGAATATGAATATTTTTCCTGCCTATATGATGCATATCACTTGTGTACCTGGTACCTGTGGAGTGCAAAAGACAGTGTCAGACCCCCTAACTGGAGTTAGGACCCACGATCTAGGCTCTGGGAATTGAGCCCAGATCCTCTGGAAGAGAAGTGTGTGTTCTTAACCACTAAACCTTCTCTCCAGCTGTGGAGGAGACAGTTTTTAAAGTTATGTATTAGTGCTTTTTTCCTGCTGATGATTTGGAGATCAAACGCTGAGCCTGGCGCTTGCTAAAAGCAAGTACTCTTCCACTAAACTCCTCAGCCCAGCAGTTGCATTTTGCTTTGAAGGAATTATAAAAGAAATGCCATATGTTGAGTTGTTGATTGTGAAAGGCAGGAAGACTTGTCATGTTTCCTGTTGCTCTTTTATAAACACTGGAGACAGATTCATTATGTTAGTTGTATATTTTATGGATCTGAGGAGATTATCAAGAAAAATTATTATTAGAATAACAGAGGACATGCTATAAAAGAGGCTATCTATATAGTTTCTTATTTTTGCTCTCTTAAAAGTTATTTGTGTGGCTAGATTAATACTAATGCCAAAAAGAAAGCTTCCTTTGCGGCTGGCAGCAGTACTTGCTTTCTTCAAATTCTTCTACTGTGCGTTGTGTGATATGGGTTTTGTTTTTTTTTTTAAGCCGGGCTTCATGCCTGCTCTAAACCAGCCTAGTGTGATGACTTACTTCTCCAAATACTAATTGGCTCCTGAGAAACACAGATTTTACATTAAATGTGTGCCTCACAGTAGTCAGTACCGAGCATTACCCACAGTGCAGGATTTTGTCTAATGTGTATTTTCTTTCCCTCTTTTATTTTAATCTCTTTAGTCATACAAAAACCTTAGTACATATCAATGTGGCTTTGGTGGTGGTGATGGTGTTGTTGTTGTTGTTGTTGTTTTGATACAAGTCTCACTATATAGCCCCTGGCTGGCCTGGAGCTTACAGAGAACTGCCTGTTTCTGCCTGCTGAGTAGTAGGCTTATAGGCATGTGTCACAATGCCCAGTTAGCATTAAGTTATTTTCAAATTGGTACCTGTTGGGCTCAATGCTTACAAAAGAGAGTCTTTTTTTAAAATGTTGTTGCATAATGGGATATTCATGTTTAAAAGGATGAAGTTAAACCTTTATTTGTATCATATGTTGGAATTAACCAAAATACCTCAAAAACCTAAAGTAGAGCTCAGACTGTCCAACTACTAGAAGAAAATACAAAGAAAAATACACATGCTGTTGAATTTGGCAGGCAGTGATTTCTTACATTTCACAAATGAAACACAGAAAAAAAAAATTTTAAATGATGTTTTGAGCCACAGGCCACCACCAAGAGATTGGGGAGATAACATATAGTTGGGCAAGTAGCTGCTAAGCACACAGCTGATGAGCATTGAAAAATATCCAAAGTGTTTGAAGAACTCCTATCACCCAACAGTAGAATTTTGAAAGGGTCAACATGGGACAGGGGTGTTGCCTGGAAAGAGCAGTGTCCTGGGTTCAAAAACATAAGGAGAGGGTATTGTGTAACTGTACCTGAATAGTGTTTGTTCAAGAGGGTACATAAATGATCAGTAAGTACATGAGAAGGTGACCCACATCATTAGTTACCGGGAGAATGGAGTCCAAGCCGTAAGGAATCCTTCCTTCTTCATGACACTAGGATGATTAGTATTATACATACTGACTTTAAAAATGAGTTTAAAAAAGCTGAGCATCAGGTGTCTTAAATCCTATCACTGGAGGTGAGAAGCCAGTGGGTCTCTGTGAGGTCCAGACCAGCTAGAACTACACAGTGAGACCCCCCCAAAAAAAAACCTAAAAATGAATGTCATGGAGGCTGCAAGCATATTTCTGCAGAACAACAGTGATGTTGTCAGGATGGTATAGCTGTTCTAAGCATTGCTGTAAGAGCCTTGACACCATTGGTGATTTCAAGGTTACTTTCCAAGCCTTTGCTTATTTAACCTCTCATATTTGTAATTGGAATAGTTACTCAAAAATGGCTTTATGATGAAAGGACATTAACATTCTGACATTGCATATCTATACCTTCCAGGAGGTCTGCTGCCCAGACTTACCATTAAACCTAACGTTTCTTGATGATAAGACCACATGCTGCTTGTGAATGTTAGTTTAAATATTTCTCCTCCCTGGAGCCTTTGAATAAAATTAACACACAAGGAGATGCTGTGCTTCTCACTTAGCTCTCACGTTTTGTGTACATTAAACTCTTCAGATAATAATTACAAGGATTGCTTGTCTTTCTTTTTTGCTTTATTGTCCTCAGTACTGGGGGAGAATTTGTCTTTCCCTTACAATAGAGGAAACCTCCTTTCTCTCCTTTTAATTAGGTCTTGACTAACATGTTTTTATTTTTTAAGATTTACTTGTTTAGAGTATATGAGTGCTTTGTCTACATGTCTATTTGCACACCAGAAGAGGGCATCATCTGATCCTCCTATTGTAAGCTGCCATGTAGGTGCTAGGAATTGAACTCACAGCCCCATTGCTCTTAATTGCTAAGCCATCTCTCCAGCCTGTGCTTTACTTATAGATAAAGAATTAGGAAGGGTTTTAGGACTAGTAGACAGCTTACTTGCCATCAAGCTCATTGATCTGAATTTGATTCCCCAGGACCCAAATCGTACATAAATTAAAAATAATGAATCTTTTTAAAAGAAATTAGAAAACTATCATTATTACTGAGAAAAGATTTCATGTCTCACTCTGACCTTGAACTCATAATGTATCCAAGGATGGCTTTGAATGTCTGGTCCTCCTGTCTCTGTTACTAAATGTATACCAGTTTAGGCCATGGTAGGGATCAGACACAGGGCTTCAGACATGCTCGGCAAGAACTTTACCAAGTAAACTGAGCCTTAGCTCAGTATAAAATTACCTTTGAGAGCTATAGAAACCTGAGTCCTCAGTGCCTTATTTGGGGTAACTAACTTTGTATGTAGAATGTAATGTATTTTGAGAACCTGCCTGGATGAGTATATTTCTTTTAAATTTTTTTTTGTACACTAGTTGAATACTGACATGATGTCCATTCTTTCATGAAAAATATGAAGAATTAAACTACAGAAATCAATGTAATCAATTAAGACTTGACGTAGCTCTTGATTTCTTTTTACTCTATTATGTCGATTTCTTACTAGCTTTAAGGGAATTTGTCACAGTTTGAATTGGATGATTGCTTCAGAATTGTCACTTTACATTTGACCTTCGAGTCATTTACATTTTAACTAAAATGTTGTAATGAAGTTTCCTTCTACTTTCTATCATGGAAAAGTTGAGCTTTGCACATTGGTAGTTGTGTAGCTAATGCGATTTATCTGAGGTGTGATCATTGCTTTGTAAAAGTTTCCCAAAAGTGTAGAAAGAAATCAAATGTACTTAATGCACTTTTAGCAAACTTCAGTTAATATTTACGTTCACCTGTCTTGGCTGACTGTGTTATCTTAGAGCAAACCCCACACATTTTATAACTCTTTTTTTTTAAATTGTTCATTGATTGAAAGAGCATGTCAAATAGTTTTCCCTGGTCTGATTCTACTGGCTTTATTCTGGTTTGTGTAGTTTGAGCCTGTTCCTCTGTTCCCTGTGTTTCCTGAGGGTTGATTCATTGAGATCCTTGAAGTTTATGGGCTTTCTGGGTTTTGTTTTTTATTGAGATAGGGTTTTGCTATGTAGCTCTGACTGTCTGTAACTCATTTTGTAGACCAGGCTGTTCTAGAACTCACAGAGATCTACCTGCCTCTGCATGGGATTAAAGTGTTCCACCATGCCCGGTGTAGTTTGTTTTAAACAAATAGCTTTGTGTATTTCTGTCACGGGTAAAATAATGTCCTCTTTGTGACATTAACTCTTGTTATGATAATCCATTATTTATTAGTATTTATAAAAATAGTAATTAGTCTTCCAAGTATATCATTATTAGTTAAAATACTCTTTCTCATCTGAGCCCGTGTCTTCCTCTGCTGTCCAGGTTGTCCTCAACTCCTGCACCCTTTTTCAAGCTCCTCATGAGCAGAGGCACAGTCATGAAACTCCATCCCCTGTTTGGAAGACTTTCGTAGAAAAGATTTCCTCATCACTAATTTGGTTGCTGAGATTTAGTTCATATCTGAAAATAAAAGTAAATATTTGATCCTTTGCACTTTAAATTTTAGTGGCATTTATTGACCTTCAGAGTTGATCAACATTAACTTTTCTTATTTCTTTTTCTGTCCATACTCCTGACCTTCTTTCTCTTTCCTCTCTGTTTCTTCTTCAACACAGATTTACTTCAGAGTACTTAAATGTGTCCTTTTTCAGAGTTCTTATTTCACACCTGGAAAATGGATTTATATTTAGAGGTTATTGGTTCTACATACTGAATACCCAACATTTTTAGATTTGATAATGTTTTTCAAGGATTCTTTTTAGACCAGGCTGGCCTCAAAGTCACAGACATCTGCCTTCCTCTGCTAGAGGAGTGCTGGGGTTAAAGGACTGTATCACTACACCTGACTTTCTGTCTTTTTTCAAATTTTTATCATATTTTAACCATACGTATATGTGTGGACATGTGAGTACAGCTGGTCACGAGAGCCAGAAGAATGTGTCAGATCTCCTGGAGCTCAAGTTTTGGGTGACTGTGAGCTGCCCTATGTGGCTGCTGGGAACCAAACTTGGCTTCTCTACAAGAATTGTGTATGCACTTTTAACCTCTGAGCCATTTCTACAGTGTCTTCAAGGATTCTTTTCAAGGCATTTAGAGCAGAGCAAGCTGAAAGAGTTAAGTTTGCCTTGTATCCTCGAAAACCCTTTCATTCACTGTTTCTCAGGGCAGAGGACCAGGGCTGGCTGGCTGGCTGGCTGGCTGGCTCAAAGTAAAGGTTTCTCCCGACACTGTTTCTTTCATACTATGGCCTATCTGGTATTTAAGCCACTGAAGTCTAAACCAAGTTTCTGATTCTAAACTTTGTTTTTATCTTTATGTCCTGAACTGACTAAGGAAAAACAGCAATAATAACAAACCCTTCTCTTCAAAAACAAATCTACAAAGCAACTGAAATATGAATCACTCTGAGAAAATAAGACACTTTTAAATTTTTTCATAACAATTACCCATCCTGATACTGAGGATTTTGGGGGTCACTTGACTGCAATTTTTTTAAAAGGCTTTATTTCTAAAAGAAAAGAAGGAAGGAAAGAAGAGAAAAGGCTGTTCTGAGATTAAAACATCTGAAATGTCCTAGAGAATTGTAATCAGCTATACTGGTGACTTTTGGTGCTTGCCTGGAGGGTTTTGTTTTGTTTAGTTTTTTAAAGAGATTTTTACTTTGTACCTCAAGCTAGCCAAAGAAAATCAAACTTCTGATCTTCCTGGCTGTGGATTCCAAATGATAGGGATAAAAGTGACAGAAGAATTAAGGAAAACACCAGAACCTAAGGGCAGATGCTATATTGAGCCTATGTATGTACCAAGGAAGGTCTCACAGTCTATTTATTACCTTTTCTTACTTACAAGTCAGATCAGGCCTGGGATTCAGACTCTGAAACTTGGAATTGTATAGCTCATGTATCCAGTGTATCTCAAAATGCTTTTGGAAATGTAGGAAAATATATTCCGATCTATTGTGTCACTGCTGAAAATTGAACTTCATAGTGAGTATTTTGCTTTTTCACACAGGGCATTGGGACAGCCATTGGAGAGCTGCCTCCATATTTCATGGCCAGGGCAGCTCGCCTCTCAGGTGCTGAACCAGATGATGAAGAGTATCAGGAATTTGAAGAAATGCTGGAACATGCAGAGGCTGCACAAGTAAGAACAAAATGGGGAGGTGGGGCTCTAATCCACAACTCACAGTTAAGGTAGAGGGTTAGTAGCTCTGCATGAAAGAAAACTGCCAACATGAAAACAAAGCCAAATGTGACCTGGGACCGGATATGCAAAAATACTGAAGACAAAAAGTGACGGATAGTGACTGGTGATAGAGATTCCTGGTACAACGTTTGAACAGCACACATGGGACCCTGGGTCCTGTCCCTTGTGCTTCGAGGAGGGAGAAAAGCCTAACCATGCTCTTTGTCAGTGGGTTTTCTTCAAATGAACTAGTAGCAAGAACAAGAAGATAAAAACCTACTTTTCTCCTTCCAGGAACTGATCAATGTCACCTGTTTTGTGTGTGTGTGTGTGTGTGTGTGTGTGTCTGTGTGTCTGTGTGTCTGTGTGTCTGTGTGTCTGTGTGTCTGTGTTCGTTCATTCATGTGCTCACTCATGGGCCTGCCTGTCTTCCTGTGTATGGGGGTTCACACTCACCCAAGGTCTTTTCATATGCTACTAGTTGGGTTTTGTTTATTTCGTGAGATAAAGTATAGTTTTGTAGCCTAAGATGACCTTGATCTCATAAGAATTGCAGGTGTACAGTACTCCAGCCAGCTCTGGGTTCTCTCTGTGTGGCCATTTCCTCCTTGAGAACAGCCTTGGGACTTCATCCTCATGTGCAAACAGTGCTTAAAGGACTGAGAGGTTTGCTGAGAGAATGTAACATTGTGTAATGTTCTTCAAAAGCTATGAAAGTCTGAAACTAGTAAGGCTTGTGTCAGTATAAGTGACAGTATTACTTTCTTTATAGAGATTGAACAATTCAAATTAGTTTTTGTTTACCTTTGAATGTTCTAGAGAGTATCCTCAAAAATGGGCAGAGTAAGCCAGATTAGTAAAAACCTAAATTCCAGGCTTGTGGTAATTGATTAAGGCTTTTTTTGTTTTTTTTTTGTTGTTGTTGTTGTTGTTTTTCCCTAAACAACCTGTGTGTCAATCTCAATGTTACAGGCTGATTGTTTTATTCATAGGAAATAAGAAAATGCCTTGTCTCCAAAAGAAAACGTCGAACAGGAAGAATATGGGAGAAAAAAAAATTTTTTTCCTATACTTGGTTTTGGAAGGCATTTTCAGGTGTTCTCAGGCATCTGGTATTGGTATTGAGAATGCCAGTGCCCTTCTGAGTCTTTAGGTTTTTGTGTTTGTTTATTTAATCGAGGGGTAGGAGTAATGCCTTTCATTGTGTCCCTGTGGAGATTGAAGGACAGCTTGATTACCTTCCACTGTATGGGTCCAGGAGCTCAAACTCAAGTTCTCAGGCTTGGTAACAAGCACATTTACCTGCTGAGCCATCTCACTGGCCCCAGAAAGAATCTCTTACTTGTCCTGAAGCTCACCAGGTGAGCTAAATTGGCTGGCCAGTGAACACCAGGATCCACCTGTCCCCACCTCCCCAGCACTGGGAGTACAACCATGTACCACCACACTCAGCTTTCCCATGAGTGCTGGGGAGCCACATGCTTGGAGCAAGTACTTTGCTGGCTTTACTAGTTGAGCTATTTCCCCATCTCTGGGTTATTTTTAAGTAGGAATTGTTTTATTGTCAGTTATCTGATTAACTGAATAACACAATCACACTACTAATAGCTCCCATCCACCCTGCTCATGGACATGTTACGTGTCTTGTCTCTGTGGAATACCTTTCCAAGCTAGTGTCCATACCACTCCTGACATTGGTGAGCAGCTTATTACCCTTGAAAAGCTCAGTTTCAAAACCTCATCCCTGGAATATGATGAGGTAAGATGTCAGTCTCGATTTGTCTTGTGTCTGTAGTTGGAGTTCTTGAAGACGTCAGCCAGTTAGTCTTTACCTGCCCACTGGGAGAATGATAGATAGTCTTCTCATGAGTCGCTTACGGCCTGGTCTTTTGTGTTACTTTTGATTGGAACTTTTCTAATTGGACTTCATCTATCTTAGATAAGATCTATCTTATTAGAAGAGATAGCACGTAATACTTCTGATAATTATGAGCTTTGGGCTGTTTTTATTATTTTTGCCTTTATGCCAGTAATTACAAACATGATTTTAGGATAAACTATACATTTTTTACTCCTTAACTTCATATCTAGTAATCTTAGAAGTAAAGAAAGCAAATTATATGCATTCCTTTTTGTTTGTTTGTTTGTTTGTTTGTTTGGTGCAGGATTTTTCTCTGCATCCCTGCCTGTCTCAGAACTCTCTATGGAGACCAGGCTGGCCTCAAACTCACAGAGTTCCACCTGCCTCTGCCTCCTGAGTGCTGGGATTAAAGGCCAGCACCACCAGTGCCTGGCTTATGCATTCTATTTCATGCCCTTTAAATCAGAAATTACATATCTGTGTCTTCTGCTTCTTGCTGTGCTGAAGATGAATCCAGGGCCTTGTTCATTGCTGAGCTATGTCACAGCCTTGTACTCTTAGGGACATTCTACTTAAAATGTTTACTCAAATCAAAGTTATAGATACTTTCAGTTACCATACAAACTAGAAAATAAGTTATTAAAGTAATAAGAAAATTATTAGCTCATACATAAAAAATTTACCTTGCCACACTGTGAAGTAAAAATTTCTGGTTTTGTTTGTTTTCATTTTTGTTTTATTGGTTTGTTGTTGTTGTTTGTTTGCAACTTTGAGATTCAGCAGATTAATTCTCATCCACATTTACTGGCTGTAGATTTTTGAATGTGTTGACAGGTAAATAAATCTCCAGTGTATAAAGCTTGTTCGATGAGTTCTCATCCTCATTACATTTTCTGGACAAATGGACATGGATGCTTACGGTATGGAACGTCCCTGTTCCTTTGACCCAGGTGGCATTAGTGAGTATGGTTTCAGTGTGCACATCTGGAGTTGCCATCTCTTTCATGACAAATTTCTAGATTTCTTTGAGTGTACAAAGGCTAGGCTTCCTGAAGGCCCTTCCATGTTTTGTGAATGTTGATTGTGTGTTCTCTGGTCACCACTTCATTGTTGGCAAAACAGCCCTTCTTATTGCCCCCTTCTTTGTGGAAGCCATTCTGCTGGGCACAAGGGAAAACAAAAAATCTGACTATATTACCCAAATCAGAACCAAACTCTGGGCTTCATGGAGTCTCCTGCTTTCTCAGTAGCTGGATTATTCTCCTGCATCTGGCTTATCCCTAATTTGAGTAAAGAAAACACACTTAAGAACACAGGGTCGACAGACGGATTTCTGAGTTCGAGGCCAGCCTGGTCTACCGAGTGAGTTCCAGGACAGCCAGAGCTACACAGAGAAACCCTGTCTTTCGGGGAAAACAACAACAACAACAAAACAAAACAAAAAACACAGGGTCAGTGGATCATACAGTCAAGTCCAAACATGTTTTCTGCCCCTAGAGATTAGCATTGTTTTTACCATACCATAATTTAGCAATATTTTCACTCTGCTTAGTGCTACTTTTTAAAAAACTTGAAGTGCTAGGGGCTGGAGAGGCAGATTAGTAGTTAACAACACTTCCTGTTCCTCCAGAGGACTCCAGATCGGTTCTCAACACCTACATTGAGTATTTTATAGCCACTTATAACTCTGGCTCCAGGGGATCCAATCAATACCAACCTGGGATAAATACCAAGACCCTATCTCAACAAACAAAATGTGAAATGAAATCTTTAAACATTAAAATAATTCTATATGTGATGTGATGTAGGATCCTAACTTCTCTTCATAACTAGTTATTTTTCTGACACTGCTTGCAAACAAATTTATTTTTCTATGGTACTAGGGATTAATCCAAGTGTGCACACGCTGGATGAGTACCCTGTCGCTGAGCTGTATCCTCAGGCTTCTGCTTTTTATTCTGAGATAATGTCACACTAAGTTGCCCAGGATGGCCTTCAGTTCACTGGGTACTCTTGGCAGGCCTTGAACTTTTGTCTTCCTGCCTCTGAGTAGCTGGGATTATAACCCTGTACCACCAGCCTGGCTTCCAGGTGATTTAATTTTTTTGTCTCATATTGTGGCTAAGTAGTTACTAATGACATATTCAAGACTTGCTAACCTGGTACACCTTCCAGAGTGCCTTCTTGGTGGTGCTTTAAAAGTTCTTTAGTGATCACACCAGAATGATTACAGTGGACTAGAATTTGCTCATATAGATAAATATAAAACTAATCTGATAGGAGCTGTAAACAGGGAAAAGTAGATTAAGTATAATTAAAACAATAAGTTACATAAAATGAACACCAGCAAAACATTATCTAAATTTGTCTGAAATAATGTTTTAAACTTTTTTTTTTCAATTCTTGAAGGTAAAGTACTTTAGTTGCATAAATTTATCAGCAGGAAGTCTAAATAAATCACACTCACGAACACACACAAAACCTTGGCACCGGTTGCTTTGCTGTGTGCTGTCCAAGTGGGTTAAAGGGAACAGATTTTACTAAGAAATTAATGTTCAGTAAAGTGTTCATGACACATATTTACTTCAATTCTGCTTCTGACTCATGTTTAAATTTCATGTAATAGTTGTTTTGAGAGAAAGAATGATAAGTGTTGATTTATATTCCAGTTCCTTATAATTACCTCATTTATTTTGTGAGTACTGTATTGAGATTAGCCAGTATTTTTCCACTAAACTGGCTTCCTTTTGTTCTTGGCTTCCTATCTTGTTCTTTTTCTATATCTGTGAGAGATAGGCATGAGTACGTGTAGCTTCCTATGGCCTTGAACATCTAATGTTTGAAAAATTAAGTTCTAAGCTAGACTGGAAATGTTGGTTAGTAACTCTGCTAGTATTGGGGAGGCTAAGACAAAAGGATCACAAGTTCAAGGCCTACCTAGGTGTCTTAGTTAGACCCTATCTCAAAATAAAACGTCTACATAGAGGTGTTCTGATCATCTTTGTATTTATTGTTCCTGGCATCTGTAACCTGTTTTGTAATTATTTATTTTTATTATATAGGTATTTTGCCTCTGTGTATGTCTCTGTACTACATG